GGGCTGACCAGGCGCTGCCCTCGCCGCCGCTGTGCAGCATCCCGAGGGAGCATCTCAGTGCGCACCACTAACACTGGAAAAGAACAAACTCCCAAACCCAAAGTCCGGTTTCTCCGGAACGCGTATCGCTTTAGACCATCGTAAAGTTGAGAGCGATTAAGTGGAACCATCCTAAGGTGGGGACCACCTGCACACAACACGTACACGGAACCGAAGGCAGGTGTCTGGGTAAACTGTCCTTGTCGGAGAATCCCTAACACAGGAGAAAAGGAGACGCTCATTTTAACAGAACCTCCAAACGTTTCAATGTTTTAAAAGTCGCGTATTGCCAAACGTTGATTTTACACAGTGGCGTAGGAAATGTGAATGTTGGTTTGACAGTGAACCCTGCCGGCCACTCGCCTGGACACAGGGAGCACGATCTGCTCAGCCCACTCTCCTGCAGGCACCACAAGGCTGGGGAAAAGTGAGTTTAGTTCCCTTAGCGCTGCATCCTCCATTTCTAAGTGAACTCGGACGCGTGTGTTTGGACTTGCTATGTACAGAACATCGTACCTGAGCTGAAAATAAGGCAGCTCCCCTATTTTCTTAGATCACCCTCAGACAACAGGTTTTTCTGAACAGGTGTGCTCCTTATCGAGTCCTGGGGGAGTGGTAATGACAAGAAGTGCTATGTCCTAGGTACGATAGCCCTGTGGGTGTCCTACAAAAAAAAAGAATGACTTTGCAAGGATCTGAGAACTTAGCTGAAAGAGGCAGATATGCAACTGGGATGGTTAATTTCATGTCACCTTGACCGGGCTAAGGGACGCCCAAGTAGCTGGTAAAGCACTGTCTGGACGTGTTTCTTTCTGGGATAAACACTTGAATCGGCAGTTTGACTAAGGATGAGCTGCCCCAGTGCAGGCGGGCATCATTCCATCCTCCAAGGGTCTGAATAGAACAAAAAGGCAGAGAAAGGGCAAATTTGTTCATTCTTTGCTTCAACCAAGACATCCATCTTCTCCTGCCCTTGGACATTGGTGCTCCCGGTGTGGGGACTGCATTACACCACCAGCGTGCCTGCTTCTCCAGTTTGCCGATGGCAGACTGTAGGATTTCTCGGCCTCCATCATCATGTGAGCAATTCCTCTAACACATCTCCTCCTATCTGTGCATGTATGAGTACCCAGCTGGTTCCGTCTCTAGAGAATCCTGACTGACACAGCAACTTCAGCCAAAGGAACCTAGAGATATGCTGCGTTCACCAAGCCCTTAGATAAGCAGCGGTGCGGAGTGCCTGTCAACTCAACAGAAGACGAGCTTCAAGAGTTAGAAAATAGAGCCTATTTCACAACCTTCAAATCACTCATTCATTTTCTGATAGGAGAAACCAAACTCTTTGTAGGCAGACAGCGGAAGGGAAAATAGGTTAAATCCACCGCCTTAAAAAAACAAGCTAAAATCACTACACAGTTCATCAGAGAATTGCACTGTAAACACTGTGGTGTGGCACAGCCACCCTAGAGAGTCCCTACCCTGTTATACACCTAAACGATTGTTTAAGTTGACTGTAAAGCGCTACTCAAAATATGATCAGAGCAAAAGTGCAGCATGCCTGCTCGTCTCCGCTGGGTGACGGGTTTTTCAGAAGGAAGCACAGCACTCAGGGACTCCTCAGTCCACCGGGCGTGTGCAACAACGATGACACACACGTCCGGTCCGGTGGGGTTGGCATGCCCTCTCAATTCTACTCGAACGTTTTTAATTTTTATTTTTCCACAAATAGGATTTTTTTATTTGTCACCATTAAAAGTCTGGATTTTAACAGAGTCTTGGACTGGGGGCTCAGACCCATCAGCTCAACCTGTCTCACCCCCGGCAGCTCTTCCGGAAGTGCTCCCTTCGCCCGGAAGCTCCATGAGTTTTCCCAGGTCGGACTTGGGCTTCTTCGGCATTTTGATTTTTCTAACAAAGACATCCTGGGGCAGATAAATAGACTGGCGAGCCTTTTTTTGTGTCTTTGCCAATGCCATCTACAATATCGGTTCACTGACCCCTTCTTTCGAGACATTTGCCTGCACCTCTTGGGCCGTGACTTCTACCACCTTCTTCTGGATTTGACAGATGTGTCGATGCTGAGTGCGGGGACTTTCTGAACCCGAATGTTGGTTTTTTTAGTGAAACCAGTGCAGAACGGATGAAGCAAATAACCATCGGTAATCTTGCCAGCACCATGAGCTTCAATCATGGTCTGTCACTTTTTTGACAGGTACGATCCAAGCCATGGAAATTAGTCAGGCAGTTTCTGCCCTGAACATCCTTGGTAAGTAGATTGAATTTCCTAAATGCGACTTCACCTTTCTGCAGATCACCTGGGCTCACTTCAAAAACACGACCCTTGAGACCAGCAGATGCTATTTTGGTTCCTTGAGTTCCCATGACTAGTGTTTTTCCAATATTTCTTATATTGATCATAACTGGTGCTTTCACATTATACCAATCTTAGAAAATGGACCATCCATTTTCTTCTTGGCTCCCTTTTTGCTGCCTATTTATTTTTTATTTTTTAGGCAAGGCAACTTTGGTTGACCTCACAGATTGCAAGGACCTTGTCAGCTTACAATCCCTTATTTATTTATTATGCCTACAGCACCTGGTCTTCCTAGGTGGTCTCCCATCCAAGTACTAACCAGGCCCGACCCTGCTTAGCTTCCTCAGACAGGATCGGGCTTGTTCAGGATGGCATGGCCATAGATTTTTTGCTGCCTTTTCTAAGGTGCTTGTTTCTGCGGACCACCGTGGTGCTGCTCAGAGAGCAAAAAAGCCAAATGCTTTTATTAAACAATGTCTTGATATAAACAATGTCTTGCTCTGCCGCAATAAAGATCATTTGTTTCAGGAAAAAGAAGTTTACCCTGTGAAGATTACCTTTCCTAATCAGTAAACCCCTTTGCGATCTTTTCTAGTCAAATTTCAGTAGTGCAAATATACTGCTCACTGAATAGTTTTCAGTTTGAAGTGCAAATGAAAGTAAACATGCTTTTTTAATTGGTCCGATTAATAATCGTTTTGATAAAAATGAAATTGGAAAGGAAGAGGTAACATTTTGGGAGCAAGGGGGGCCTCGTGAATCTCAGGCCTCCAATTTCAGATGCTTCCGTGGGACATGTTATCACTCGGCTGGGTTTTTCAAAGCTTCCACCACTAGCTGGCGTTGACGAGCGATTTCCAGCTGAGTCTATAGAGCTGTATAGACCTCGGAACTCTATTTCTTCTCCTTGGAAGGCTTAAAAAAGAATTTTTAAATTATCTACAGGAATGTGTAGAGGAAATTCTATAGCACATTTCTTACTCTTTGTAAAATTAGGGTACAGCAGACCCTTGAACACCACGGGTTTGAACTGTTTGGGTCCACTCATACGCAGATTTTTTTTCAAAAAAGACAGTCGGCATTATGTATACTTGGTTTTCCCATCCGCGGATTCAACCAGCCTTGGATAGAAAGCAGTATTTTCAATGCCCAGTTGGGAATCTGTGGATGCGGAGGGCCGACTGATGCACTGTTCATTTTATATAAGGGCCTTGAGCTTCTGTGGATCTCAGTATCCGCGGTGTGGGAGGTCCGGGAACGAATGCCCCACAGATACCGAGGGGCCACTGTAGCCAAGTTTTGGGGGCGTCCAGTTATACGTAGATTTTCAACCGCACGGAGCATTGGTGCCCCTAGTTCTTGCGTTGTTCAAGGATCAACTGCACAGTGCGTGGTCTCTATGAATTTCAGAACACGCAGGGATTTACGCCAAGCTCCAAAATACACGCTTTGCTTCCTGTTTACAAAATCGATGGTCACATATGAATGATCTATTTAAATACAAGTTTCTTACTTTTTTTTATCCTCTGTAGGCTTGCAACTTCAAGATGTCAACACTCATTCCAATGTTAAAAAAATGATTTCCAAATGTGAATAACCAAGTCCAAGACTTTGTTTCTAAATATAACATGATCATGCTGTTCAATCCTTGAGAGCACAATCATGAAGGCAAAAAAGGAAAACATATGTAAACCCCAGAACTTTTAAAACAAGTTTCCAGTAGTTCTCATTGCCAAAATGATACAACCTGAAATACTTCAAATGAGTGATTCCTTGTATGACTCAACCACGGAGACTTAATTCATCCAAAATACTGTACTAATTACCTCAAAAATCAAAATAAAAAAGTCCTCATTCTACAAAGTCATGAAACTTTATACGGTACATTTACCACCGCCTCTCCACTCTAGAACTTTCCGAAGGAGTAGCCATCTACAGACAGGAACTGAACACAACACAGCAACAAGGGGAAAATTTCAACTAAGTACATGTGAACTAAGAAATTAATGTGAAAAAAGTTACCGTGAACTTTCCTCCAAAGCTTTTAGAAAAAAACACGCCTTATTCTAATATAACCACACGAAAAAATTTCAAATTTATTAATTTAGCATTTGATGCCAAATAGGGAATTCTTTTTTCTTTGCGACTGGTTGAAATTTTATATACTGGCAACTTATAAAACAAAGGAAATAAAACAGTTCATGAGTCATGGCAAGTTCTATCCCAAAGGAGTAGACTTAGTTCATAACAAAAAAAAGCTAAGGAGGGGGAGGGGCAGGGAGAGGGGCAAGCGGTAGCAATCTTTCCCATTTTAAACCATCGAAATGTCCCCTCGCCTCAGTTCATAGCCCATCAGTGACCCCAAATGGGACGGCCATGAACTGGGACTCGGAGTGCTCAGTCAAGACTGTGTCCTTTGAGCCTGGCTGGCCAAAAGGATTCTTACTTTGGGACTCTGTGAGCACCACCCCAAAGGACACTATTTCATTCACCACCAGAGGAAAGTGAGAGCTGAGTTCCGACCTAGCTTTATATTTCGTTTTTCGAGTTCTGCTCCCTAAATCAGCAACCTGCTCCGACTGCAGCTAAAAGACGTCTAAGTATTAGGAAGGCGGCGTTAATAAACAGACAAGGTGCACCAAGACCGCACACATAAAATAAGACATTTATTTTGCTAAAGAAATTTTATTTTTCATTTTCCCAAAATACTAAAGCAGCACACAGTATAAACTGATATATGCAATCCATAATCCCTAAAATGGTTGTCTTACTTTGGGACTCTTTAAAAACTCACCCTCTTAAATTGACCTTTATCAAAGTTGTCAACAAACGACAAAAGGAGTTATCTCAGAAAAATCTTAATATGAGAAATCTCAGCTCCTAGAAACTGGGACTGTCTACAAGGGAAATATTCCATTCGCCTCTGCGACGAGCTACTGCAGTCTCTCACTCCCTTCCACTTCAGGGAACACCGCTGGCGTTCCTAGTTTGAGAAAGGTTTATTCTAAAGAAGTTTTGTATTGCAACCCTCACCATAGGGCCTCCAGTAGACTTGTGTTTCAAGTGGAAGGAAAGGGATTTGAGAAAAGAAGTAAAATTTTGATGCAAACCAAAATTATTCTACAAAGTGCAGAAATGGTAGCAACTCACCATCAACTCAGCAAGGCTCAGGGCAAGTACAGAGGGGCTGGGCTGACTTTTACAAATACCCACCTACATGAGATGAGCAGAGACAAGCAAGGGGATGAGGGGGGGACAGTATCTGGGACAGCAGCCCTTTAGAATGGGTGAAGGCATATAAACGACTTTATGTTAAATCTTGATGTTCTAATCTGATGTTTATATAGGATATGTCAATGTTCTCCTTGAAATGGTTTCCCAATCCTGAATGTCTTTCAAGCACAATTTTAGATCGTGTTTAAAAATTTTCTTCTGCATCAACCAGCTTCCCACAAGTTTAAATTTCACTTATTTTATCTGGTCATAAAAACCAGGAACTTCACGGCTGCACTGTCTGCATCCAGACTTATCGCAAAGAAATCATTCTAAGACAACGTTTAAAAGTAATCTTGCTACGTTTATTGTTCAGCTTGCACCTTAACTATGGCATAACGGCTTTGCCTTCAAAGCTTGTACAGCCAGTAACACCAGCGTCATCTGCAGATCGTCTGCGGTACTTTTCACACGTGGAAGCATTTCCTTGTATTCTACCGTCTGCTCTGAGAACATGGGCTCTGAACGGCCAGGGGGCGCACAGCCGGTCTCGTCATCCGGGAGCACTGCGGGGCATGCATGCAGCACTGCAGACAGGACAGGACGCAGGCAAGCTGGCTGCAGCACAGAGCCTTGTCCCTCAAGGCAGGTGCTTGGTGGCTCGTCCTCAGAAATGCCCACTTCTGACAGTTTTTGACGGCATGGCAGTCCTGACCCGCAAGGCTCTCCTTTGTGGCACGGTCTTCTGTGCCTGTCGGTGGCTCTGGGCCCCCCTCCCAGCCAGTCCCTCACCGAGGCTTCTGTGACGCCACAGGCCAGCCCAGCAAAACGGCCTTCTGCAGGCGCAGGGAGCAGAGCCGCAGTCTTGCTCGGAGCCGCTATGGAAGCGGAGTTTTTTCTTCCTGATTCTTTCAAATATGGAAACACGTTCCCACCACTGTGAAGTGAGAGGCTGACCTCACTCACGTCATTTTTCTTTTCCAGTGATAAGGTCTCATTTTGCAAATTCCCACTTTCACCAACGGCCGGCGCCATCGCCCAGGACGCAGGGCTCCCCTCCTCTGCTCCTCTGAGTCTGCAGAGTCGTTTGTCCGGGTCCTCGCCCTCCCTCTTCACTTTTGCGAGGCAGGTGCCAGGAGACCCTCTCCCGTCCCTCATGCTGTGTCTCTGACGCGGTCAGCCAAGGACACGCCTCTCGGCCTTCAATGGATCTCAATGTGAACCTGGAAAAGACAGTCAAGTTCAAGTGTTATAAGGAAGAGTCATCTTTGGAGAGCCTATGCACCCAGATGCTTCCCCACAGATATGGAGATCTGTCAGTCTCTCGTACGAGGAGCCCTATGTTTTGGTAGAAAATAGGATGACAAGCGACTGATTAGAGATCACAACAAAAAAGAATGATACTTTATTAATGAGAATTCCTAAAAATATTTAAAAATAAGAAAAATATACATTCTTAGGCTTTGTACTTTTCACAGCAGTATAGTCATTTGTGTAGGTTCAATAAATATCTGTCCTTCCTTTAACTGGAATTTAACTGGGTGACTCAACTATGCAACCAACCTTACCTGAAGAGTCCTATTTGAGAATGACTCTCAGCAACTAGGTGTGACAAGCCACTTGTTAGGAATTGAGGCCGACTTTACTTATGGATCCAGCGTCTACGAATCTCAGCCAGGAAAGCCAGCCTGAGGCGGGGTCCTCGCCTACGAGATCCCAGCCCTAAAGTGGACAAAGGTCACTCGCCGGCAGGTCGGAAACCCCAGAATTTTGGAGCCTCAATAAGAGAAGACTTCACCTGAATTTATAGGCATTGCAAGTAAAAATATGGCGGGGAAAGCTTCCTAGGCTGGGTTCCCCACTCAGACTAGCAAATAACGAGGCTTTGACAAGGCCGATCTGAGATTTCGCGTGAAAACTTCTAGACAGAAGTTGATGTGTGATCTCAACAGCAGCTGTACAAGAGTGAACGCGAGGCGGCCCATCTGCTAACAGTCTTTAACTGTTAAGGACCAGCCTTTTCCCGTGGCCAGCAATAACCTCTCGCTGACGTTATGATGCCCTGAATGGGGAGGACGTCCGGCAAAACAAAACGGTGAGAGGCTTTGAAATGGACCAAAAGTAAGATTACTGGGTGCACCATCGAGTGCGGCCTTTGGGTTCCCTCATCTAATAGGGCCCTGCACCTCTGCCTTCGAGCTGCTTTATAACTCTCCAAGTTGTAGAAAACGTGAGAGGAAGGCAAGTGATTTCTTATCAAAAGAAATGAAAGTTAATTTTGTTTGGAGGGATGCAACTGATTATTGCCTTGTGGATAGTGATCAGTTTTATATCTATTTGTAAATTCATTTTAGCATCCCTGAATATGTGTGTTTTGTCTAAATTCTCCTTGAAAGTGACTATCATCTTATTAGTTCCCTCACTGATGAGTTAAAAACGTTTTTGTCACGTGTCCTTTTAAAAAATAACCATAACCCCAGAAGACAATTAGATGGAAAACACAGTCAGCAATTTTTCTGAGAAGCTAGCCTGAGGAGCAGCGCCCTAACCAAAATGCAGTAACTCTACTGGGAAGGACGCAAGTGTGGGTGTGCGCGGTGGAGGCCGGGTGCAGACAGCGACATCTGTCTCGCCTCGCACAGCAAGACAAAGACAAAGCCTACCAGCGAACAGCCGAGAAGCAGCAACACAAACGTGCGACTCAGAGACAGCAGTCACTGCTGAGAAGCAGCTGTCGCTGGAAGAGGCCGGCCATGGGGCTGGACAAACAGTGGTAGGAAGCGGCTGTTCCTCTAAATTGTTTAGAAATGTAAACAGAATATACTGGGAAGAAAACAAAGCAAATAAGTCTTATTGGGGGCTGGAGCAGAAGGCATAGCAGGCGGAAGGTGGGGAGCCAACCGGGGGACAAAAACGAGGCACAGCCACTGGCATCGGGAGACTGGGCTTTGCTGGGCAGGTGGTGAGGGGCACAAGAACTCCCAGCCTGGAAACGCTGCGAGGTTTGCTTTTCGGATGAGTCACGCCGGCTGCGCGAGCCGGCTGGACTGGCAAGGGTCACAGCGGCCCGGCAGGAGCCAGGCCGACTGTGCAGGAGAAACGGCGCGAGGTCATGAGAAGGAAGAGGAGAGTGAGCACGTTTCAGCGTCGGTGACTGACCAGACGCAGAGGACGGTGAGGGGACCCGTTTCTTCTTGCAGTTCTGGGCCACGAAGGTGTCACTGACTGAAAGTGTGTGTGGGGGCAGGGAGAGGTCTGGACCTGGACACAGGGCCCAAGAAGCATCAGAATCCTAGATCCAGAAGTCGCCAGCTTGGGGCAGTGGACACAGTGACAGCCCTGAGAAGGGACAGAGATGGCGGGTATGGAAGGCCAGGTCTTTGAGACCTAAAGAGCAGGGACAAGGGCCCCCAGGGCCGCCAGGGAGAGTGGGCTAGGTGTGCTGCTCGTGCAAACGAGGCAGGTACGGCAGAACGCTGAGGAGCGGCACGTGACCCTCAAGTCCTGTCGTTAAATGGGGTTATCCCACCTCTGGGAGCACGAGAGAAAATACCAGAACAGCTCAGCTTAGTTCACTTCTAGCTCATCACCCTCTCACTTTTTCTGTTTTATAATATACACCATATTTTGGTAGAGCAAAATAGCCACTTCATAAATAAGTACATACCTCTGGGGCAAGCTCAAAACTTTTTACTGATAGAAGTGGGACCATTACTCTATATACCTACTGATAAAAATATATTTAGATACTATAAACCAATATACAAATGTAGGGTGCAAATTTTTTTAATTGCGATATAAATGAAATAACAATAGTTTCAGGTGCATAGCACAATTCAATCAATATCTGCACATGTTATAAAATTATCACAAACCAACACCTATCACCACGCATGGTTACGATTATTATTTTTTTCTTGTGATGAGAACTTTTAAGAGGTCCGATTCTTGTATGTGTAAGTTCTGGCTACAATTCAAAATAATACTTTCAAAAAGTTCAAGTCAAATAAAATTAACTTTTCTTGACGGTTCTCTCAAATTAACTTTCCAAATTATGTCAAACCTTACATTCATTTTACTAATCTGAAATGTACTAAAAATGAACAGTTCCCTGAAATGGAAGCATTCCCAAAATATTTTTAATACATACTAAAATAGGTTCTCAAAAAATTCTTAAGTAAAACAGGTCATTTAATATGGGCCAACTCTCAGGAATTAGTTTCTAACCTCTTTTATTATCTTTGTATGAGAACTCTGTACCATCCTGAGATAAAAATATTCCCAGAATCATGTTAAAATATTTTAAATAAGGCACCATTAATGGAATCAATAATCATGTATTTAATAATGACAGGATAAACTGTTTGCTGAAGATTTTCTAGTTCTCTAGTAAATTCAGCTATAAATTATGTATTTAATTCTTTTAACGAAAAAACTTCAGTAGGTCAGTGAAAATATTTTGGCTCTGAGCCCTCGACTAGCCAGCACTTCTGATATTAGGCTGTTACATAATTTACTTATATTCTGAGAGCCAGAAATAAATTTTGTTTAATTTCTAAACATGTAGTCATTTGTGAAATATTTTTTGTAGTTTTTCCACAATATACTACATATGTTGGCACATTATATTGTACTAAAGTATAAATAATTATACAATTAACTGTCCTTGGCCCCAGCCATGGCATTATTTCTCTCCCATGTCTTAAGTCTACAAAATAATCAGCAGCGTAAATTATGGCAAATCGACTTATCCACCCAAAATGAGACCACCACAATAAAGGAAGGAATCTATTTTGAAGTTCAAGGCAGCATGATTCAGGACAAATAACATGCAGTACTAGGACTAAATTCCTGAACTAGGTCCCCTACCCACTCCCTCTTCCCTCCAAAGAGATGGCACAGGTTGAAAGGAAAGCACACAGGCCAGATGCAGGCAGAGAACAGGATTGTCTGGGTGTGGCCAGGTCCTCGGTGCAGACATGAGAGGTCACCTTCCACAAACACCCCTGCCTGCTCAAGGCAGCTGACCTGCTGTGTCACAACAGGCCTGACCCAATTAGGCAGCTGCTGCCCTCTTGGACTGCTGTCACCTTACCTTCCCGAACCCGAGCTATTAATGGCCTCAGGGACCTGATGGTCTGGATACTACCGCTCTGTAAACTAAAAATATCCTGGCCTCGATGCTTCTAGGCCAGCTGGCAAGGCTATTCCCAAAGGGGACCGGGAGGAGACATGGCCACAGCAGAGGCTGTTTGGCCAGGTAGGGGTGACAATGGGCTCCGGGAGGGTCCCGCCATACAGTGGCTCACACACACACTGCAAGACCGTCCTGGCCCCCCGCTTTTAGATGTGAACACCAGATCACTGAACACTGCTGTGCTCGCGACTAAAATGATCAGACTGAGGCGGCGGCTGAAACGAAGTTCTCCAAGCGCTACCCCATGCAGAGGATGAGAAACCAGAAGGACTCAGCCCCTCCACCGTAAGCCGAGTCACAGCCACGAGAAACGGCGATAGTAGTGAGTTTGTTAGCAACCGTCCCGCACATGCAAATCAAAGCTGCCACAACAGCCAGCTGTGCAGCTCTCACTAGTCACCACCCTGGTGACTCTGAGATGTCCTACCATAATCTTGATGCAAAGGTGTGCTCACTCACATATCTGAGAGCCAGGATGTGTCCCAGCTGGGGACCTCTGGCCATGCTCTTTCCTCAGGATGTGAGGACTCAATATGTGACGTGCCTAGCACCTCTCCTGACCCGCACCCCACAGTCATCCAATAAATGGCAGCTTTTACCTTCATTATCGTCATCTAGAGTGTTTTAGGGAACGAATGACAAAATGCTGCCAAGGAGTTCTGTAAAGCAGAGGACAGAGAAGTGACCACTGGATGGCAACATGGAAGTAGCCCAAACACAGGCTGGCACATCTCAGTGGAGGGACAGAGGTTGAGGCCCAGGCTGCCGTGGCAGCAAGCAGAGGTACCGTGCTGCAGCGAACGCCTCAGGCAACCACCTCTGCCGAGGCCCACTTGGCAGAATTGTGTGCAAACGCCCATGACCTTTCATTCAAGATCATACTCCTGCGACTTTTTGCTACAGATTCAATCAGCAAGCGTTCACTATGTCCCTGCCCGAAGCCAGGCTCTGGGGTAGGCGCAGGGGTTAGGGCCACACGCCAAGCAGCAAAATGGTCTGTCTTCTTAAAGCTGGCTTTCCAGTGAA